TAAGTAATTATATTTAAAGTGTAAATTGTCTTTAGAAAAATTTATTCCATAAAAGCAACAAATTGGAATATTATTACATTAATATTATTGTTGCTATTCAAGACTGATTAATGAGACTTAATCTAAGGAGGTAAAATAATGGTCCCTATGGTGTTTTTCTTTGTTACAATTTGGTTCTGGAAATTGTTCAGATGCATCCAATTACTCTCTTCTGACTGCTATCCCTTGGATCTGGAAAAAATTCAATGCATTTAAGCTTAATTAATTTAAAATGATTTTAAGTATGTATTATAAAATTATAATTGTATTTTAAACAGTAAAGAAATATGTAAATAAGTCAATCAATGAAAAAACAATGATAACTTACCTTTTAAAGAAATTAATTAGTAAATTACTGATAGATGGAAATAATCAATTTAAATCTTTTTTTCTTTCGCTCGCTCCCGCGTGCACACGTATGCACACACTATAATATATGAATTAATAAACCATTTAATAAAAAGTTAAATTAATTATAACAATAGACAATCAAATGAATCATCAATTAAGTAAACTAATGACATAATATATAACAATTTTGTTATAATTTAAAGTATAATAAAAATTTGTTACAATGTTGATAAAACAAATTTAAAAAAAAGGTTGTTTTATTAATTCAGTATCATTGAACATATTATTAACTATTAATCATTTTTAATTTAATTAACTTAAATTTTTTCCTAAGAGTAATTGTATGTATTCAAGGTGTTCCATGAAACTCTAATGGAATCCAGCGTTGAAACTATTAGAGATATGAAAAAAAAGTTACAGTGTCAAATGAAATGATTTTCGATGCTCCAATTTTGCATGTTAATATTATGTTGTATCTGTTTTTTAAACGGACCATCCTATTTTTTAATACATTAACCCTTAATACCTAAAATTCTCAACACCGTTCAATACTCGGGATATCTATACGGTGAATTCATTTTTTTCCGTTGTTTTATTATTGATAGCTACGTCTCAATGGGTAGACTGAGGAACTTTTTGCAAGTTATATTGAACTCTCAGTAAAGATCTATTTATATATAAGACAATATACATTTAGTAATAGCAATATACATTGTTTCATTTAAAATAAATGAAAGAATATTTTTGTTAACTTGTCGTAAGCTTCAACACCTCAAGATTAAATCGAAGGTTTAGATACGACACACGCCAGAAATTAGACAGTGTTATCGTTACTTTCGAGTGAGATTTAGCGTAACAAGTTTAATTTTGTTTAGTGCAAAAGAAAAACTCACAAGAGTAACGGGAGAATTATCAGCAGCTGAATTTTTAAGATATAACTAGTAATATAAAATATTCTCTATTAAATTTTTGCTGCTGAAGAAAAAGATATACTTATATTTGGCGCAATTATTGAGAGAGGAGTCAGCTGCAGAGGATAATTATTTATCAGATAGCGACAACGAAGATTGATTTCCATTGTCAAAAAATCAAGCACAACCTACAGAAGTTTCGGGCGACGATGAGATAGCTGAAGAAAATCGAGAGTGTAAAGCAAAGATAGATGAAGAGATTGATAAAACGGTTGGAAGTGGAAGTATGTACTAGCAATGACCCATCGGGGTCTACGACACTTTTGTGGAAAAAAGGTTTCGAACACCACTAACACAACATCAAACTAGAGTTCGCAATATTGTCAGACAAAAGGTGGTCATAGAAAAACAGAAACATTATCAATTTCCGAAATATTCAAGAAAATTTTTACTAATGAAATGGTCGATATTATTGTATGTCATACAAACAAAAATGCAACCACAGTATACAAAGAGAATTTTAGAGGTATCTTGAAATACCTCAAGATTTTTGCACATTTTTAGGAGGTGTAGTAATGTCAGATATGAATACTTGAAACATTGACCATACGACCGACATGTAGAAAACATCATATCTATTATATCGCGCAAATACCTGGACTGATTGCATTAAAGACAACAAAACAACTGCCACACGTGACATATGGACTATGCTCCATTTAATTTTTATCAAAGATGTAGTAACCAACTAAGTGTTTGACAATTGATAAACAACTTTTTTCATACCGAGATAGAACGAAATTTAGAACGAAAGCTTCCATAAGAGTCGAACAGAATATATTATTGCTATGTGATTGCATATAGTATTACTATTGGATATTGTATGAGAATAAAAGTAATTGCGGTGAACACTCTGTACAATTAAAAAAGAAAATAATACAAATTTTTAATATTTACATAGAAAATAATAATATGATAAAATTAAATTTCTTTTTAAATCTTTTTTCATTCTTTAAAACTATTTTTTCTAATTAGTAACACAATCAATTTATTTGTTAACTTTTAAATGTTAATTGTAAAAAAGTTTTTGAAAATAATATTGTAAAATATTGTTAATTAGATTACTAAGAGATGTTATTAATATTTAATTAGAAAACAAAGTTCAACAGAAGGTAGTAAAAAAAGTAAAGATATATAATAACATTTATCGAAGTAAATAAAGTAAAGTATTACATTAAATAATCAACTGTTTTATTTTGTGAGTTGTTCTGAACAATAAGACATTTTCTCAAAATATAATCAAGGAAATTCATTTCACTACTTTTCCTATTAAAATGTTTTCATGTGTAAAAATTTAATCGAATGAAATGCAGTTTTACTATTTCCTTGCAATAAGCATACACATGTGATTTCAAAAAGTATTTATATCATACATAATTTGTATATGGAATAAAACATATAGTGACTGAATTAAAGTAAAATAAAGCCACATATTTAATGAATGATTTATTAAGCAAAAATATAAGTTAATGAAAAAATGATTCAGTATTAGTCGAGTTAGACTTACGAAACTGTGATCTGTGATTATTGTTAGAATGTAGGTGAATTCAAGTTAGGGCTGCCTGGAGTTGAAGTGGGTGTTGATGGAGTACCTGGTGGTGAAGTTTCCAGAGGACAAACCAAATTACCATAATCTGCTTCATTCTTGCTTTTCTTGCGCTTTAATGTAAACTGAGATTTCTTTGGTACCTAAATTATACATTAATAAAATTAATATTTAAATTTGTTTTGAATTTTTTTCAGAAAAAAAAAAAGTTCAC